CCTCACCATACCCATTTGGATGACAAGGAGGAGGTGGGTATGTGTTAGCTGTAATTCCACAGTGGTACATTCTTCCCCATTTAGCTCAGCGGAACACTCTGTTCTCTCTACAGATGCACACACAATAACCCAAGGCAAATGGTTTTTAGGTGGTTTGTTTTATTTGCAGTTGGTAGAAAAGCCTTTTAAAATCACAATGGTCTACAGAAACAACAGCATCTCAATGAAATAAGGTTTTTAATTTTTAGTGGTTTTTAAAATAAAGCCTTTAAAAATCAAAGGACTTGATAGTCATGGCTGGCCATAAAGCAACATAATTTAATCACTGGCATATGACTCTTTTGCCCACTAAAAATATTTGGAATGATTTGAGGAATTCAGCTGGTAGGACCCTCTGAAAAATCAATGAAAGCCTGAGCTAATTATCTTCAGCTAATGTTTCCTGGACTGGCCATTACTTGAAAAGAAGCATATTACTAAAACCTGGTGTCTTGAATTGAAAAGTATGAACGGAGGATCTGGGGTTACCTTCTTAGCAAGAGTGACCATGAAGAGCTGAGAAAATGACTGTTCTTTGAAAGTTTAAAAACTGTTCTGCTCTTGAAGAGAGAGAGAGAGGCATCTCCAGGACTCAAAACGAACCGAACCCCATTTCCCTTCAATGCACCTTTGCTGCATTTAAACCTATGCTTCTTAGCTACTCAGTTACTCTTTTGTGTCCAAAGAGAGTGTCCCAGGCTAGCTTTAGTTCATCATGCAAACTGTGTGGTGGAGCTAGCTTTTTCCCTCAAGGATGAAACTGGGGCTGAAGTTGTCATGTGGGCTTGGAACTTTTTTTTTTTTTGTAATTAGCTGCGGGTGGGAGCTAGCAGAAGCTGGCTCTCTGTTCTGAGTTCTGAAACAAGTGACTCCCAGGCACTATTTTCAGAGCTGTGCCGACACTTGTTAATAATGTTGGTATATAAAATCGTGCTCATTCTAAACTCATTTAGACACAAGAAAATTATCGAGGAGCCAGCAGAGAAAGGGAGAGACAATTAAGTTACTAACTGTCAGAGGGAGAATGCTAGAGATTTTAAGTAGAATCAGCTATCCTTTTCTGTCAGATGTAAGCACTGGGAGTAAAAGGGAAGAGTGTTTTTCGCCTTCATAAGCTAATCAGTAGGGTTAGTGGGCCTGGATACCCTCCCTTCTCCGCCTTATGCAATGAAACCGCTCCAGTAAGCTGAACTTCCAAAATACAGACCAAAGGTTGATGCTATTTTACCTTTTAAAATGATGGCTCCCTAAGTATAACAGGATTTTGGATCAGATTCTGAAATAGGAAAAGACATTAGTGGAATATTTGGTGAAGTCTGCATTCAGCCTGGGGTTTAACATGTTGTACCAATGTTAACATCTTTGTTTGAAAATGTACCATGATTAAAAACATTCTGGAAAGAATACAGGAAAACTCTTTGTCCTGTGTTTATGATTATTCTATAAATTCAAAATTATTTCCAAGTAGTTTAATGAAATGATGACCTTTAGTTGTTCTGACTCTGATCTTGGAAAAGCAGGCAGGAAGAGACCTTCTGGGGACAGTAAAGACCATGTACCTTCCCCAGACGAGAAGGGAGGCAACAGGATAGTGAACGGAACTATCAGCAGTAGCAGGGAGACACAGCCCAGGACGGCTGCTGGACTCTGGAGTTTCCTCCTAAGGGACCACTACCCAAATGATGCTGGGTCCTTGACCATGCACAGGAAAGACCTTCAGGATGGGTCGGAGGGAAGCAGAGTCAGTGAGTTTATTAAGTAGAGATAAGAAACAACGTGCGTGATTAAATCTAAGGACATTTGAGAGCGTGACACCTGAGAGAATGACATCCGTACGTATCCTAGACACAGAGCAAACTCCTGAAGACAAAGAAAGGCAGTACACACCCAGTACGTGGGCAAACTCCTGAGAAAGCCACATTCAGGTGTCTATAGTTCTGTGCTTTGGAAGTTACATTGCTCAAATAATTTAAACAAGATTTGAAAATTAAGTGATTTCTTAAAAACAAGTACAAAAATACAAGCTGGTTTATTTTTCTTTAAGCATTTCCTTTTTTAAGAAGAAATTGTAAGGCAGTTTTGAGGTGTGTTGCTTAGGTTTAAAAAATACTGAAGTCATAGATACTCTAACCCCAAGTAACCTTTTTTATTTACTGTTTTTAACATCCTTGTCTGAGGTTCTATCTTAGGAAAGGGAATCTCATCTCTGCAGGCGATCTTCAAAGCAGGTTTGTTGGTTGTACCTTAGTTCTTGGCTCAGTGGATGAAGGACTTCAACCCAACTCCAGGATCAGGGGCTCCTTTCTCTTCTTACATCCCCTGAAGTTTCCTTGTCTTCTCCTGTCTTCGGGCCGGGATGGAGGATGCTGCTCCTTGCCAAGCAAACCATTTGGCTTACACTGTCTGCTGGATTCACTAGGCAGACAAGCAGAAGGCCAGAAAAAAACATGAAATGCCCAAAGCAAAACAGGCCCGCCCACCTGCTCTGTCCCTCACTTGCTTCTAGTAAGATGGTGTTGCTTCAGTGTGACCTGACCCACGTCTTTGGACTCTTGGTCCCCATTTGGTGGTGCTGTTTGGGGGCGTATGGAATCTTCAGGAGGTGGGGACTCACTGGAGGAGGCAGGTCATTGAGGGTCCCCATTTGGTGGTGTGTTTGGGGGCGTATAGAATCTTCAGGACTCACTGGAGGAAGCAGGTCACTGAGGGCTGGCAGGAGCTTTAATGTCAGGCTCCATTTCTGGCTTTGTTCCTGCTGTGCTGATATGAAGAGGTGAGTTCCAGCTGCATGTCCCCATGGCCAGAAGCTGCCTGCTGCCATGTCCACACCCAGTCCCCTTAAACCAAGTCAAAATCGACCCTGCATAGCAACGAGAAGAGGAACCAGCACAGTGGCTCTGCTGACTGGCCCTCCCTTCACTGTGCATTTTATCCACTACTATTTATAAAGGAAGGTCACTCAAGAGGGCATATCAATAGTTAGCAATAGAATTCCAACTTTCAGAGACCTTTCTCTAGGTCTAGAGAATTCCACTGTTTTTCTATGTGTATGTTTGTGTATATGGGTACATGTGCATATGCATACATAAGTGTGAAAAACAGAGGATAACACTGGGTGTCATTCCTCAGGTACTGTACATTTTTTTAAGACTGTCTCTCGCTGGCCTATAGCTTGCTAAGCAGTCAAAGCTGCCTGGTAGGTGAGCCCCAAGGATCTGCCTGTCTTTGCCCCCCAATGCCAGGATCACAAGTGTGCAACCACTGTACCTGGTATTTGCACACGGCTTCTGGGATCAAACTCAGGTCCCAGTGTTGGCACTTGACTGCCTGAACTATCTCCCCAGTCCCACCTAACCACCGTTTAGAAAACTGCTCGTGCAGTCCAGGTTAAAAGTTCACCTTGCTAGACAACCAATGTTGAAACTATGGTGCATAGAGTAATTTTTTATTACATTAAAAATTTTAGCTGGGTGGTGATGGTGCATGCCTTTAATCCCAGCACTCAGGAGGCAGAGGCAGGCGGATCTCTGTGAGTTCAAGGCCAGCCTGGTCTACAGAGTGAGTTCCAGGACAGGCACAAAGCTACACAGAGAAACCCTGTCTTGAAAACAAACAAACAAAATTAAAATGTATTTTGTGCGCATGTACACACACGGGCTTTGGTGCGTATGTGGAGGTCAGAGGTCAGGCTAAGGGAATGAGTTCTCTCTTTCAACCATGCGGGCCCTGGGGATTGGACTCAAGTTGTCACGCTGGGCAGCGAGCACTTTTATCCAGAGTCATCTCATAATCATATAGTCTACATTTTGTTCTATAAAGTCCCTGAAGTACGTATTTTCCTCTTCAAACCAAAAATACTTCCAGAAACACGAGTAAGTTTTCTTTGCAAAGGACAATCTTGGTCTCAAACACCATCATTTCAAGAATACAGATTAAAAAGCCCTCTTGAGGTTCCTTGAAGATTGGTGATGGACAAGAACTTCCATGTAGAATTTAATAGTGCTGAGGACTGGGCCCAGGGCTCCTGACTGCTAAGCATAAGCTACATTTCTGCAGCTCTGAAACCATCTCCTACACGGGCTTTTGGAGATCTTAGTATTTCCCATTCCTGTGTGACTACCTCGGACACAGCAGTTCTCTGGTTCCGTGATGCCGACGTGAAGTGAACAGCTCTGTAAGAGCCTCAGCATTCTTAGGAGAGAGTGGAATCTTTATGTAAAATAAGAAACAGACTGCTCCTGCTACAGAAGCTGTGAGAAAGTTGATTATTGGTCAGTGGGCTAAAGGCAGAGTTTTTAATGAATACTGCTAGGATGACGGGGTGGCCATTTCCACTCAGATGGGAAGATGCCGATTGAATGTGATGTTTGGGCCAGACCATCTGGGAGCAGGTAGGTGAGGTAGGAAAAATGGTCAGTTACTTAAAGGTAGGCCTAAAAGAGATGGAGAATGATAGGAAGGGCTAGCCTAGTACTCCCTTTTTTGTCCTGAGCAAAAGGACAAGGAAAGATAAGCTGTCACCAATAGAGGAAAAAGGCCACAAGGGTGGATTGGGCCAAGACTGGGAACTCAGTCTTGACCATGATTCCATGTGTCAGATGCTAGTGAACACCACACAGGCAGCTGGGTACGAGTCTAGGATTAGAGGGTGAGAGCTGAACCAGAACTCTGAACTTGGGAGTCATCAGCAGGTAGACAAAGATCCACAGCCTAAGCCTGGAGCTGTCAGGGACAGCGGCAAGAACTCAGAAACAGCCTTGTCTCACTCCTCTCTGAGTCCAGTGTGGCCCTGGGGAAACCTGCAGAGTGAACCAAGTCTTCTGTCTATAATACGGTCAGATACCTGAAGAGAGCCCTAAGGGGAAAGGCACACATCCACTCTCTGAATTTTAGAATCACTTTAATACTTGAGACAATTCATCCTTTTTGAGAAAAAAAAAATCAATTCTTTGACTGAATTAAACAATTACCTGGAAACCTGAACTGGGGAGGGGTGGTTTCTGGGATGACGAATAGTCCGACAGACTTGAAGGACACTGCAACTGAACATGGGTTTGAAAACTGTGTATGGTATAATCTGTTCAAAACTTAAAACAAGTTCTGAATATGTGGCCTTTGAGGAAACTTGTTTTATGCTTTTTAAAAAGAAAGATAATCAGCAGTCTCAGTATTATCTTTAAAAACAAAGCTACCTGCGAAAGCAGAGCCGCCAAAAGCTAGGCTAACACACTCTTTGCCCCTGGTTCCTGGGCCCTGAACGTGCATAAAAGCTGTGGTAGAAACAAAGTGTCATTTTGCTAGGGCAGAGCACACTCCCAGAAAATGTTCCTAGTATTTATGCATATTGTACAAACAGAAATGCAGTTGTAGAAACACAGATTTGAGCATTACAGTCAAATAAGATCAAAGAACACACCCTTAGATGACTTGCTGATTCCCGGCAGCCTGGAAACTAGACAGCACATGTACAAAATGCAAAGCCCATCATTTAATTAAAATGAAGTCAAATGATAAAAACAATTTTGTGCTAAGACAGACATTTACATGCATCTGTCATTTTAAGCATCCACTAAAATATTAGTGATCTGGGCACCCAAATCTCTCTGTAATTACAATGAAGATATTTTCCAGTAGCTGTAGGATGCCAGGGGTGGCCAGTGGTATGGAGAAACTGCCTACCAGACAATCCAAATGGCCCTAGGAAATGAGGCTTTTGCCAGTGATAGCCTAGGGTCTGGAGAACTCATCCCTCGGGTGCAATTTTAAACAGATTCCCAGTAAGTGGTCAGGGGTCCTCTTTGCATTAATGTTGCAGTAGTTAACCCTGGAGAAAAAAAATGTAAAGAAGGAGTCTTCCCTACTAACACTTACCAGGCTGTTTTTCAGCCGAGGCTCTTCAGTGTAAGCCCCTGATGTAGATATCACAAAGGCTGGTAAACACCCTTTAATAACTACTTTCCAACTCCTAACACCCCCCTGACAGCTTTTCTAGACGGGGAATGGAACAAGTGCCAGTGCTCTAGAGATCACTGACAGACACACCACGGCCCCTCTGGTGGACTGAAGGGATGTGACTCTAGTTCAAAAGCCCGGATTACAGGGCCCAAGAGCTCAACGTCGTCTCCTTTCTGCTCTGCCACTCAGCTGACTTCCCTTTCCTCCCAATGTACCGTTTTGGAAACTGGGGTAAGTCCCAGCAGGTGGGCAGCATGGTGGGGATGATATCCTTTGTCCAACCATGAGGAAGGTGAGGCAAATAAGCTTAAGAGAAATTTGTGAACAGGCAGAGATGACCCACTTTGTACTTGTCCTTTGCAGCCAACAAGACCAGGCACCTGAGGAATCCCAGTTCCAACTTGACTATGTCTATGTCCAAGATCCTTCTTTCAGATGAACTCTGGCTCCTCAGCGGCATTCTTGGGTCAAAAGGCCTCGCTGTGGAACAGCAGGTAACTGAAGTCCAGGAAGACCAACAGGATCAAGGGCATGCACATCTGCCCCCAACCAGGTAGTTCCAAGCTCGGAGCCTGCTGAAGGTCAAAAGCCCTGAAGCAGTCCACAGTTGGGTCACCCATGAAGTTAACTAGGTCTTGTCAGGGACACAGAGATAAATCCACGAGTTGCAGTGCTGTTCAGTCTTCCATATTAGTGAACTTTCTCTTCTTATAATTCTGAACGAGGCTGGACGCTGTGATCTGAGAAGCCTGACCCTTTTCCCAGCTCTGAAAGTCATTCAGCCCTTTCTGCCCTATTTGAAATAAGCCTCTCTCCATCTCATCCAGCCTGGCGACCAGTGCTGAAGTGTCTTCATTGTAAGAATTCTGGGAGGAGTCCATGATGCGGCGGAACCGTCCAATAAAAGTCTGAAGAAGAGTAAGAGAATCAGGGGCAACATCACATCCCATCACGCCAGCCACACTGAAAACCTTCCGTTAACTTACTTTTAGGGGGAGACGGGGCACCCATGCGATACCATGTATGTGAGTAGAGGTTGGAGGACAACTTGTGGGACACAGTCCTTCCACCAACCTAACACAGGTCATCAGGTTCAGCTGCAAGGGCCTCTACCCTGATAAGCCGCCCTGCTGGCCCTCAGATGTCTTGTTCTTACTGAAGCAGTTAACGGTTTATGTATTTACTTGTTTATTGGGCAGGGTCTCACTATGTAGCCTCAGCTGGCCTGGAACTCAGAGATCTACTGGTTTCTGCCTCCCAAGTGCTAGAATTAAAAGTGTGCACCACCATATATGGCCTTATTGTTATTTTTTCAACTATGTGGATATGTGTATATCGATGTGATTGCACATGCCCTCATGCTGCTGGAGTTGCAGGCAGTTGTGAGCCACCTGAAGTGGGTGCTGGGAATTGAACTCGGGTCCTCTGCAAGAGCAATGTGTGCTCTTACCACTGAGCCTTCTATCCCGCCCCTATACTGGAACACTTAGATGGCTTCAAAGAGTTTGGTCTCGGGACTCACCCAGGAGGCTTGGGTGCCCCCTACTACTTAACAAAGTCTTTGTTTCTTTTACAGTAAAAAAGGTTGTTATGGAAATCCAATGGATTGTTACTAAAACCAGGGAAGCAATATATGTAAAGCATACTGCAAGAGGCTGGCGCACAGCAAGAGGCTGGCGCACAGAGGCCCTGGAAAAGCACTGCCCGTCGTTACTGGGAACAATGACTACAGAAATGAAAATGAACAGCTTTCAACCAGATGGGATTTGGGATCAACTGGATTCAGTTTCTATTTTTCTCAGTCAAAGAGCAGGATGGAGATGTGTAAGAGCGACAGTGAAGGGTAAGGTTTTTAGCTCTTGGCTATTGCTCTGACCTCTTGGCTTTCATCTTTACATTAAGATGGTTGGTTACATCTACACTTAACCACTGGGCCAACTCTCCAGCTCTATGTCTTCACGTCTGTCTATCTGAAGTGCTCATGTCTCATGTCTATCTGTCTGTCTGAAGTCCTCATGTCTGTCTGTCTGTCTGTCTGTCTGTCTGTCTGTCTGTCTCTCTCCTTTAGAGAACCCTGACTAATACAGAGGGTAAAAACGATGTCTGGTAGCTGCCATCACTCATCACTGGCTGCTAGGATATGCACAGCCCAACACTTCACACTTCTTACCTGCAGCAGAGACTGGGAGATATCTGCATTCTCTGGACTGTCAAAGTGCAGAAGCTGGGAGCCAAACCCGTAGAAATGGGGCCCCATTTTGTGGAGGTCCACGACGTTAGCGTCTGCACTGAACACAGTCCTCCATCCCTCTTGGTACATCTTGGGAAGCTCCACAGAAAGGATGCGCCGCTTGGTGTCGAAGAGTCCTTTAGCCAGCCACAGGGGAAGCTCAAGCTTTGTGCCCTGCACCAGGCGAGAGCACAGGATGAGAAACGAAGGCACAGTCAGCATATGTGGGGAAATGAAAATCCCTGTTTTCTGGGAAATACTGCCTCTTCTACTGGTGACTGAAGTGACATGAAGAAGCAAACCACAGACGTCAGGATAGGCAGGTAGACGCACACTGTCTACCTGGTACACACGGTATGTTTGGAGGGTGTGTGTGTCTGTGTCGGGGTGGGGGTGGAGCAGGGGCCCACACTGTCTCCCTGGTACACACGGCGTGTGTGGAGGGTGTGTGTGTGTGTGTGTGTGTGTATGTGTGTGTGTCAGGGTAGGCAGGTAAATGCACACTGTTTCCCTGGTAAACACGGCGTGTGTGGAGGCCAGAGGCTGCTGTCACAACGTTCTCCTTGCTTACTTCTCCATCTTAACTTTGAGACAGTTCGTCCTCTTGCCGACTGACCCAACGCTACCTATTTCAGTCAAACTAGCTGGTCAGTGGGCTCTGGGGATACAGCAGTCAACCTCAGCCCCCACCCTGCCACTGCCCGAGTTAGAGACACAGTCATGCCTGGCTTTTTAGGTAGGTCCTGTGGATCTAGACTCAGGTTCTCATGCCAATGCAGCAAGAACCTGACTCACTCGGCCACATCTCCAGCCCTTATTTACATTATTTACATATTCTTAACTGGTACATTTAAGGGGTACAAGATGCTGCTGCAATACACTTTCATATTGTATAATCTCTAAATCAAGTTAACCACCCACCTCAAACAGCATTTCTTTAGAGTAAGCACATTCAAAATCCTTTCTCCAGTTGTTCAAAAGGGCAAGGGCCTCACTGTAATCTACAGTCACTCTTCTGCTCAGCAGCACACCTGAACGCCTTAATTAACACCAGAGTGACATCTGCTAGTCAAGTTCCTGCCCCCACTTTCCCAGACTCTGCTGTCATTCTGCTACTCTCAATTTCTATGAGATCAGCTTAGGCTGAGGTTTCATGTCATGAGGCAATAAAGACAGAAAACAGATTATAACAAAAACTGAAGTGGAAGTCTTCCAGAGTAAATGAATATACTTTTTTACTTTCTTTGAATATTCTCCATCCATGGTATGTATATATAAGTACCAATCTGGATGCTGGTAGTAGAGAACAAAGTGAAATCAATCTGAAGTCAGGGGGCTTCAGAGGTGGCAGAAAGGGCCAATGTCTACGGTTTTCAAAGCCCTAAGAATTGGAAAACATGACAAGATGAGATGACCGGCCAAAAACCAAAAGAAATCTCCTAGTTGAAGCCGTAGGGCCCAGGTTCGAATCCTAGTTTACCCCTTACTGGAGGCCGCTGGCCTTGTCACCCAGTCTTTGTTAGGTTTATGGGAGGGTAAAGGGGCAAGTGCACGGAGCTGCCACATTCACTCCGAACAATGAGCAACCTTTTACCGAGGACTGACTTGGTTAAGCCACCACGGACTGCGGGGGGACCCTGGCCAAGCTCCTCAATCTTTGTGGAGTTGCCTAAGTGAGAGGATGTAACTTAGCTCACGGTTAAGTTACACCCACCTCCACCCCGCCATGCCCCGCTTCCGCCCACCCTGGCGAATCGGCCCTTGGGAACAGGCGGCTGACCCTGCCATCAGTTTGCAGAATGCACAAGGCCACTTGCAGTTCCCAGACCTACAAACCTCAAATAAGTTTTTAGGGCAAACATGGACAGAACCAAGACCCCGCGAGGCTCAGCTGGGGCCAATCCTCCAGCGTTCGGAAAGCCAAGACCTGGGGGGGGGGGCGTTTAAAAACAAATCCAGCGGTGGCGGGGAACCAGCCCGAGAGCTGTGCAGCTTTCCGGGGTCCCCGCGGCCTCCCCGGGTCGCCTCACCTGCGGCAGCGCGTGGTCCGACTCGGCGTCCGCGCCCCGCTCCAGGAAGAAGGCGCCCAGGCGCGGCATGGACGTCTCGACGCGCACCGGCAGCTTCTCCTGGGACATCAGGATGTCGTCCAAGGACAGGAAGTTCTCCTCGGGTCCCAGGGCGCCGGACTCCACCGGTAAATACGCCTCGGACATGGCTGCTCGCGGCAGCGTCAAGGGACGAGGCAGCCACCGGCTTCAAACTCGGCTTTCCCGCGCCTGACTCGCCAGACCCGAGCAGTCGAGCCCTGCGGGCCTGTGGCTGCTCAGGCAGAAGCAATCGATGAAGTCACAGCTCTGGTCCCGAGTCACCGCCCTGAGCGGAAACCCTGGGGTGAGGCGGCCGGAAGTTCTCCCGCAGCTGGTAGCCTAGGCTGGGAAAGGTGCTTAGAAGCTTGAACGTGGTTGAAGGGACCGTGTGCGTTTTGTACTAACTGGACTGTATTCATGCAGCCCTTTAAATAAATATATAAAATTTAAAAACATCCTTGGGGGGCTTCAAATAAAACCATTATATACTATCCACTCCAGTCCTCATTAAATCTGCTTTTATTACAACCTTTTCACTGGTAGGTTAATTTTTGTCTTTGAAAACAACTCAAGAAACGAAAACACAAGCACTAGCCCGAATGTTGAACTGTGTGCGGAGTTACAAAGTATTTGTAGTATTTTGGTGGTGGTGGGGGGGTATGGGTTCAGGTGGGGCGGGAACTTGGATGGAGAAGTAGATTTACATATGAGTGACAAAATCTTAAGTCTTTCCCAGGACCTTCCAGCTTGCTTTGCTGTCAACTGACAAATTCCTCTTGTGGCTCTTAGTTTAAGTTCCTAAAAGAGGAAATTAGACTAGTCCCGTTAGTCTTTTGACAGCCACCCTACCCGCGAGAGTTCCAGTGCCAGGTGTTATCATGGATCCAGAACAAGGAAAGGTCATGGTTGTTTGGTGCTAGGGTTTGTGGCACTACTCACACAAGGATTTGAGGGGGATTGTTGAGAGACGTGCTGCAGGGCATTCCTGGGGTAGTGGAGTTTGTGAGCAATGTGTACACAGGAAGGGGGGTGTTCTTGACTTTCATCTTTTGCATCCCTTTTTAGTTTTGAATGAAACAATTTGTTAATGTATTCACATAATTCACTATATTTAAGCAATAGCCTTCTAAATACGGACTGGAACTTTACATATGCTAAGCAACAGTCACTTGTTTTTTCTTGCCAAAATACTTGAGTTAAATGAATGTTTAAAATATTTACACCACTTTTCTTTACTTTTTTTCCCTCTTCTTTTAGCAATCATTGCTAGTCAGTTTAAAATAATTTCTTCTAGGCAGCTAGTTTAAAAGATCCCAGTAGTGTCAAGCATGGTGGCACATGCCTAGAATCCCATCAACGAGGAAGCTGAGGCAAGAGGATCTCAGGCTTGAGGCCAGCCTGAGTTACATGGCAAGACCTTATCTTTAAAAACAGTTATGAATAATGTGCTTGTTGACATGACAGGATCAGAAGCAAACTCCAGATGAGCTAGGCATGTGCTGACACTGTTGGCAATTTCCGGCATGTCTCCGGATCTTAGGTACAGCTACTTCCCAATTCACAATGGTCCCACTAACAATCTTTTGTTTTACAAGGGTACAAAAACTTATTCATATAACCATTCTGTTTTTATTTTCAATACAGTGTTTGATAAATAACATGAGATATTCAGTGTTTTGTTTTAAAATAGGCTTTGTGTTAGATGATTTTGCCCAACTGTGTCCTGAGGACATTTGAGGCAGACTGAGTTAAACTATGATATCTTGTAGGGTAAAGGATAAAATGTATTTTCACTTAATGTTTTCGATGTACAATAAGTTTATTGAGAAGTCACCCTGCTGTAGATCAAAGAATATCTGTATTTAATGAAAAGTGTATTAGAGATGGCAGCAATAAAATTGTTTTCATCAGTCCTATAAATGAACCATTTTAACCTCAAATAATGCTTGCCTTCCTTTCACTTATAATATCCTACCATATTTTTGAAACAACGTCTTGTATGCAGCCTAAGCTGACACTAAACTCAGGAGTCTTCTGCCTCAGGCTTCCAGGTACTAGGGTTACCGGTATTGTGCCTACGATATTTAAAATTCTCATTGGCAGTGGGAATAAGAAACCAGGGAAATTTACATTCGTCTCCCCCTGTTTTTCAGTGCTGGTCTCCCTAAACATCGTATGAATGGAATCATCATCCTTGCTTCCCTCCAGGCTTCTCTTACACAACAAAGTCACACTTACTTCCTGCATTAGCAGTCACAGAGTCACACAGTCACACAGTCACACAGTCACACAGTCACAGAGTCACACAGTCACACGGTCACACGGTCACACGGTCACACAGTCACACAGTCACACAGTCACACAGTCACACAGTCACACAATCCAGCCATTGCCAACTCTGCTGCTACCACCTTGTCAGTATTTTGATATCTTGACCCATGGGGACATGGGGAGGAATTACCCCTCCGGAGTTAGCTAATTCCTAGAGACAGCAAACAAGGTACCCGTGAACATGCCTTTAGTTTATAAATCAGCCATTCCAAGCCTCTGTCCCAAGGAAGTTTATCTAACACATACACAAAGCCTATGTTTCCTGTACACATGCCCCAGCAAGGTGTTGGGAGCACAAGGGTTCTGATACTCACAGAGAAGCACTAAGTGAATGTGTAATGTTAATCACGAAGGGGTGTCTCCTGGATGGAGGAGATAAAAATCAAATGCCTGCATTCCATCCAGAAGAAAGCTGAGAGTGGATCTTGTTAACGACCTGGTGACCTTTTTGCTCTCTGAAGGGACAGACCTCACCCAAATTCCTCAGACTGATCATCCCAGACTCTTTCCTCCTTAGACCGTAGCCCATCTTTAGGGGAGATGTCACATGTACTTTATGGCTTCCGACCTTTGTGCTATCAGTCAGAGACCACACTAGATTCTAGGCCTTTCAGCTGTAGAACCAACCCTCATGGTCACATGCACTCTGTAAAAGAGTCTCTATGTAGTCATACCTTAGGCTTTATTGTGCACCTGGAAATTGGACTGATTGGACTGATTGTGGCCTGGAAACTTTCCCCAAATTGTACTGTGTTTTAAATATGCTGACAATAAATCACCTGGTATTAGACTTCTGGAAGTCAATCTGCACCGTGTTTCCATTCTTATTTCTTCTTGCAGTTCGCTTCCCTATATGACACATGCAGGGACCCCCTCTGCATGGGACACATATGCACACATACATGCACACTTGCACACACACATGCTGCACACACAAATGAATATAATTTTAAAATTAAGTAGACATAATCCATAGTGATAATGTATACTTTTCTGCTGAGATGGAGATATGGCAGCAGATATGGTTTGGGATAGAAACATGAACTTGTTTATTTGAAAGCAATATAGGTCATTTACTGCTGAGGACTGTAAGCTACTTTTACATAGAAATAATAATAAAAAAAAAAACCTCAATGAGTTAACCACATCACAAGAGTATCACTTTTGTGCAGAGACCAGAATATTAACTTTAAATGCAAACACCATATTAATACTGAAAGGATTAAGATGAAATCAGATGGTCTTGTTTGTCTCACTTAATGTCTTGGCTTCTGACGAAACTATCCACTGCTGTGTACTGTTACTCTGTTTAATCTCTCTTCTCCTTAACTAGTAAACACGTGAAGAAACCAGAACAAGTGAAAAGAGTGAAGGTTTGAGTTTGTGATGCTAAAAACAGCCAATCCTTCGATGGAGTGGCACATGGTTTATTGCATACGAATCTGTCTATGGTTTATGTCCTAAGAGCCAAGAAAGCTCTTAAGCCAACTAATCAATAGACCGAAAGTGTGCTGGGAAGACTTTCGATCTGCGTAAACTCCGCCTTGTGTTCACTGTGCTAGCGACACACTGAACTGCAATGCTACCTTCTGACAGTGTCTGCTGGGTCCTGAGAACAGACCGGCCATTTGAGAATCACAGACGCCTGGGGCAGGAGTGCTTTAGAACACAGTGAATGCGATAGGAGCTGCCTTAGTGGCCATGGCCCAACCTCAGAAGGCAGAAGCAGTTTTCAAGTGTTTAGATCATCCTGGTGTGTATGTATGGGTGCGTGCATGCAAATGTGTGTGCGTCCCACGCTGAGGATTGAACTCAGGAACTCATGCATGCTAGGCAAGTACTTTATCACTGAGCCACATTCCCTGACTCTAAAATTGCTTTTTGTCTGTTTTGTTTCTGCTTTTGCTGTGGGATGTTCTGTATGTCCTGTGGGAGCCCGTTCTTGGGTTCCTCGTGGCTTTGCCCAGCAGGTTCGCATAGAGGATGATTAGGACCACGGGCCTGGGTGCAGGTGTCTGAGATGGTCTGGACTTGGCTGTGCTGTGGGATGGTCTGTATGGCAAATGTGTTTCTCTGATTGGTCAATAAATAAAACACTGATTGGTCCGTGGCTAGGCAAGAAGTATAGGCAGGACTAATAGAGAGGAGAAAAGAAAGAACAGGAAGGCAGAAGGAGTCACTGCCAGCTGCCACCCTGACAAGCAGCATGAGAAGATGCCGGTAAGCCACGAGCTGCGTGGCAGGGTATAGATTTGTGGAAATGGACTAATTTAAGCTATAAGAACAGTCAGCAAGAAGCCTGCCACAGCCATACAGTTTGTAAGCAAAATAAGTCTCTGGTGTTTACTTGGTTGGGTCTGAGCAGCTGTGGGACTGGCGGGTGACAAAGATTTGTCCTGAATGTGGGCAAGGCAGGAAAACTCTAGCTACATGCTTTATTTTTTTTTCCTGAGGTAGGTTTCTTTTTATGTATCCGAGGCTGATGAATTCATGATCTCCTGCCTTGTCTCTAGAGTGCTAGGATTAGAGATCTCATTACTAGACTCCACTAAGTCGGTTCTTTTGAATGCCAGAGCTGTCTAAATTTCTCTCATTGAGTGGGGAAGTTGTATTGCAGGTGACAAAAAATCCAAATCCAAGGGGTATGGAGGACCCATGGGACAGGAAAAAAGAGAAATGCACGGGACTCCATCCTTAGAGTTTGGCAGGGTTTCCTGATCCCTTCCTAATTCTTATTCCCAGGCACTGGCCCACCCACAGAAGTTGCCTTCGCCGTCACAGAAGGTCTAGTAGCTGGTCATTTCTCATCACTCTGGCAGGTGTTTTCAACCTTTGATGCTGCAAAAAGTCATCATTAGCTCCAATAGTTACACCCAAGAACCTCACATTTTGAGTCACAAAAGTAGTGGCCAAA